CAGTTATTTTAAGGCCCAGAATTCCACTGCCAGGATCCATGGCCCTACTCACCTAACTCCAACTGCACAGGTGGACCAGAAAATACTCAAGACTACAATTGAAGTCATGTAGCCCAAGTTTTTTTGGTTTTGTTTTTTCTCATTAATCTAAAAACAAAGTAAGATAAGAGGAAAAAGAAAATGCATAACAGAGAGCAAGGAGGTAGCTGTTCTGTCTAGAATTGCCCTCTGATCAATCTTTTAACTCTCTTATAGCATATAGGCAGGCAGGCCTTGCAGCACTCTGGTTTTGGCATTAAAGGTCCTTTCCACGTCTGCTGCAGCAGACCAGGCATCAGTGTGGTCACAAGGGGAGTGTTCTAGTGGGAGGTCAGGCTTCTGTGGTTCTCAGGGCCTTGCCCCAAGTGGGCTGGTGGTTCATGAGCACACACTGAATTTTTATCTGTGAGTCATGCAAAACCAGATTTTAGCCCAGAACCTTTCCTGTGTGTATTTTAAGAAATAAATCATCACTAACCTAGAGCAGTCACACTTTTGAAAGAATAGTCATCATGATTTAGTTCTGCTGACATGTAATTAGCAGCAAAAGTTTTGTAGCATTGAAACACCCCACAAAAAGAAGGTAAAACATTTTTCTTCAGCCATGTGTTTGTGAGACAATCTTGTTGGTCTTGGGAGTCCGTGGGTAGTACAAACTGTTAACGTGCTTGGCTGCTAACTGAACTTTTCAACGTTAGAGTCCACCCAGTTGTTGTTAAATGCTGTTGAGTCCGTTCCAACTCAGAGCAATCTTGAATAGGGTCTCCAAGGAGCAGCTGGTGGGTTTGACCTTGCAGTTAGCATTCCAGGGCTTATCTTAAAGTGTCACACCAAGATGCTAGAGTCCACCCAGAAGTGAGTTCCTCAAAAGAAAGGTTTGGTGGTGTACTTCCAAAAACTCAGCCATTGACAGCACAGTTCTGCTCTGACACACATGGGTCATCATGAACCAGAATCAGCTCGTTTTGTTTTATTGATCTTAGTACTTTTTCTCAGAGTCTCAGGACTTATAGAGTGACTTCAGTTCAAAGTTTGCCATCTTACTCCACATTTTCTAACTTTAAGTTTTTCTATAGGAACTGGTCATTTATTTTGTAAATGAACTCTGGATTCCTTGCTAGGGACATCCTCATCAGCTATGAAAGCAGAAGAATTATTGGACTGCACATTAGGCTGTTGCAATATTTATGGAGTATAGTCCTGGTGTGGTGCTGTGGGTTAAAGCGCCAGACTGCAAAGCTGTTTGAACTGCAAGGTTGGTGGTTCAAGCTCACCAGCTGCTCCTTGGAAACCCTATACAGGGTCGCTATGGGTCAGAATTGACTTGACAGCACTTAATAACAACAACATAGATCTCTGGTAGCGTAGCGGTTACGAATCGGGCTGCAAACCGCAAGGCCAGCAGTTCGAAACTACCAGCTGTTGCGCGGGAGAAAGATGAAGCTTTCTGCTCTCGTAACGATTTACAGCCTTGGAAACCCTGTGCAGGGTCACTGTGAGTCGGAACCAACACAACGGCACATAACCACCATAGATCAGGAGTGACTAAATAAGAGAGGAAAAGAGATAACGTCCCCACTCTTCATTTCAGTTCAGAGTGACCAGAAAACTCCTGTGAATCAACACACGGAGACTTAACGTACATTCTGTACATTGCTGTGTAAAATCTTTAGAAAAGAGATCTTCAAAAGGCTGAGATGGAGAAGGCAGACCATACTCAGTTTCTTGCTGTAGTTAAAAGAGTAAGAAAGCAAAAAGGAAACGACAGTGGCTAGGAACAGCAATTAGGAGTCCTGGTGTGGTGCTATGGGTTAATGTGTTGGACTGCATAGTCCGTTTGAACTGCAGTGTCAACAGTTCAAGCTCACCAGTTGCTCCTCGGAAACCCTACACAGGGTTGCTGTGGGTCAGAACCAATTAGATGGCACTTAACAACAATAAGGAACAGCACTATAAAAGAAACTGGGAAACACATAATGTCATGCTAATGTAAAATCTGATACACCAACCTGGGAATGAGTGATATGGTTCTGTACCGCCACCTGGGCCCCACGACTGTGGCCTGGGAAGGCCAAGAGCTCAAGGTGGAATCTGCCTGAGCTGCTCTGAGCTCGCCTCTCAAGGCGACCAGGAGCCCTGGATTGTGCCTGATTGTCTCACTTTCATCTTAGATTTGGTTCTCCTTCTTTTCTCCTTTATTTCTTTTCTCAGTGAAAGTTGGGACTACTTGCTGATTATAACCCTGAAATAGTCCTATAGGGAAGGTGAACTGGAACTGGATTTTGGAGGATGGGGTTACACTTTGATAGAAAAGGAGAGGAACAATATAAAGGGAGAGTGGGCCTTCTGAACAGTCAGAGTCAGTGAGATGAAGTCAGATAGCAGTCTGGTTATTCTTTGGAGTGTCCTAATGGAGTACAAGGTTTTGGGCTGTTTTGTTGTATGCATTGTGTTGTGTCGAGGCACAGGTTTAGAAGTTATTGTGAGGAGTGTGTAGAAACAGTGAAGGATGGGGCTTCCTTTGCTACACAGCCCCTGTTATGTAGGTGAAGTCAGAGTGAACGCATGACCTTCTCTTGCTAGGCTTCTTGCTCCTGTTCCTCTCTTCTTCTCCCCTCCACTCCTCTCCCCTCCCCTCTTTTTCTCCTCTCCTCTGGGATCTGTATTGCTGGCTTGGACTTAAAGCTTTCACACAGCTCAGTCTCACGGTCCTGCTCTTTGGATGTGGGAATTGTGTTCTTTCCCCGTGATACTGGTGGGAGTCTCTTAATGAGCTGGGAACATGGTTCTTAAAGACTAGTTCCCGGCCCTGGTTTTCCTGGCCAAATAAAACATTCTGGCTCCTAGGGATGAGTAATTTTAGCAAAACACTTTAGACTGTTTAAGTACAGCTGTGTCTCCAATATTACTTTTCAGTGTCTATAGTATAGCTATCCCAGCGAACTGCAGACTACCTCTAGAAATACAGAAAACCAAAAACCAAGCCTGTCGCCACTGAGTCAGTTCCAACACGTGGTGACTACATGTGTGCCAGAGTGGAACTGCACACCATAGGGTTTTCCAGAAGACTCATAAAAAAGTTAAATTGAACTAATTTTAAAAAAAAAATAAGGTCACTGTATATTAATACATAGAATACTTCAACAGGAAGCCGTAACAACTCTAAATTGTATGTATACACTTAATACTATGGGGAGCACAATAAGCACTGGGCTGTGAACTATAAGGTCAATGGTTCAAGCCCACCAATCACTCCATGGGAGAAAGATGAAGATTTACACTCCGGAAAAGACGTACAGCCTTGGAAACCCTATACAAGGTCACTGTAAGTAGGAACCAACTCAACAGCACTTAGCAACAGCTACCCTAAATGAATACATTTTATCAAATGCATTTGTTTTATCTATTGCAATGACTAAACAATTTTTGTTCTTTAGTCAGTTGATTATTATCATCATTATTGTTATTATTACAACATTTTAAAACTATAAGATCTAGTTTACCCACTAACCCACTGCCATCAAGTTAATTCCAACTCATAGCAACTCTGTATAGAGTTTCTAAGACTTAAAGTCTTTATGGGAGCAGAAAATCTCATCTTTCTCCCACAGAGTAATCGGTGAGTTTGTACTGCCAACCTTGTGGGTTAGCAATCCAGTGTTTATCCTACAGCTCATTATGTACATACTAGAAAGGAAGAAATAATACTAAATAGATGCAGGTGACAGTATGGTATCTACATAGAAAATACAAACGAATACATAGCAATGTACCTGGCCAGGGAAAAAATGTAGGTTTTTCTAGTTCTAAAGCATATACAATTTGGAAAGCCCTCTCTTGGAAACAGTGCAAACTTACAGACAGTAAATTGCATTCAAATGATGTTATTTTGAATGAGAAAGCAATAACAACTTACAATTCTAACACAGTTGACAAATATCACAGGTATCTCACAATCCAAACAAATAGCATAGTATTTTCATTAATAGACTGTCTGACATACCGCTGAAGTATTTTTTACTGCATTTTTTACTGTGAACGCTTTGATTACTTATTCAAATGATCACAATTTTGTAACAACTTCTATTAAATGCATAGACTGATAAATTCATCTTTCCTTTAGCATGGTTGACTGGATTTTTTTTATTAATGAAACTGAGATGTATGTAACAGTTGATTCAACTGACAGACATCTTGTTTACAGTACTGCTACCAACATGAAAGGAGAGTTGATACAGTGCTGTGTGTTAAAGCACTGGATTGCAAGGTCCGATTGAACTACAAGGTCAGTGGTTCAAGTACACCAGGCGCTCCTTGGAAACCCTATACAGGACCATTAAGGGTCAGAACTGACTCGATGGCACTTAACAACAACACCAACATAAGAATTCTGATAAATTCTGTGGCACTCATTCCCATCAAATAAGAGGCGGGAAAGGTCTGGTTTCTGTTGTAGAAGAAAATATCTTTACTCTAATTAATTCACAACAATAACATCATAATATCCAGTTTAAGGATGCCACACAAACATTTGCCCATACTTGACATCATCTCAATACAGTAAGATATCCTCTTCCCACGGTGATTCTAAAGCAACAAGGAAGCAATTGATGGAAGAGAGGCTTAACTGGTACTTGTAAATGCTATACTGTCACAATCAATTATAGTTGTATACTAAATGAACTTGATTATGAGAGCCGATTTCCCATTTCTTCAATTTGAACTTGATTACACTTATCCATTTGCAAATCTGTACTCTTCAGCACCTCACTGAAACACAAAATTTGAGGTCACCCTTGTTCTGGGCACACTCCAGAAACTGTTTAATCACATAATTACAAGGGCCAAATTGCTGCTGGTAGGCTGATTGAGTTTCCTGAGGCTCCTGGTAAGTGATGGCAGGTCTTAGGGGCTCAGCATTACTTCCTCCACTGAAGCCTCCAGTGATGGCAGGGCTCAGCATGTGCACGGTGGCAATGGTTGCTGTCTGGGCCATCAGACCTGGCTGCCATAGTGTAGCAGCAGGTGAGTCCATTTTACTGACAGTGGGGTCACTGTTGGCAGCTGAGGTGCTGGTGCTGGCCTGGAGAAGGCTCTCATCTGAGGTACCCACCTGGTTGGAAGGTCCGTGTGGGAGGGCTTCTTTCCAGGCAGCATCATAACTGTGTGGTTGACCAATTTCTAGATGTGTGAAACACTGAGGTATTTGTGTGGTTTCTATACAAGTATATGTAATGCACTGTCTACTATAGTCCATTTTGAATAAGCAAAAATTAGTACTTAATTCTCTACTTATAATTTTACACTTATGATGATTGGGAGAATTTTCCACAGACTAGTTTCTTGTGTCATACATGCCAAACCTGGTGCTTCCTCCACTTCCTACAGTTGTAATGACATTAGTGTCATGATCTACAATCTCTGGCTTACCCCTTTGTATCAGAACATCTGATGATTTGGCACAGAGTAACAGGAGTATTCCCGGAAGCATTCCTGTACTAGGATTATCTAGCAATAATTTAAATATAGACAGAAATGACTGCAAACCACACAAATCTCCCATTAAACTCAAGCCAAATGTGCATCCAACTCAACTTCCTCTTACTGGTTGCCCAAGATGTGCACAGCCACTCCAACACCACTCACTATGGGATGTGTGACAGAAGGAAATTCCAAATGGAAATAGATTGTAACATATTGTGGGTAAAGTATCTTCTTTTCACTATATGATCCTATGGCCAAGGTCCTCCCCAGAAGTGGTCATGTAAATAAGGGCCCTGGAAGCTTATGCTGGGAAATTGAACTCTCTATATTGCCAACCTCAAGGTCATCAGTTCAAAACTACCAGCTGTTCTGGGGGAGAAATAAGAGGCGTTCTGGTCCCGTAAAGATTTACAGCCTCAGAAACCCTGCACAGGGTCGCTGTGAGTTGGAACCGACTCCACGGCACACCACCACCAGCATCATACTTCAAACCCAGAGCCCTGCTGTGGCACTGTGGGTTAATACGCTGCACTCAATGTCTGCTTGAACTTCAGGATTGGAGGTTCAAGCTCAGCAGCCACTCCTCAGAAACCTTACAGAGTCGCTATGGGTCAGAACTGACTCGACAGCACTTAACAAAAACAACGAACTTCAAACCTACCAGCCACTCCTAAGAAACCCTATACAGGGTCGCTGTGAGTCAGAACCAGGGCACTTAAAAACTACAAGGTACTTCTCAAGAGGAGTGTAATATCTCTATAGGATAAGCACTGGACTGCTAACCACAAGGTTGGTAATTTGAGCCCATTTGCCACTCCATGGTAGAAAGATGAGGCTTTCTACTCTCATAAAGATTTACAGCCTCAGAAATGCTATACAGTGTCACTATGAGTCAAAACTGGTAAGATGGCACTTAACAACAACGTAGTTCTCGAAGTTGCAATCAACTGGATGGCAATGAGTTTATTTTCAAAAGAGGGAGAAGGCAGGGATGGAGGAAATAGATGTTACCTATCCTTATATTTTAAGGAGCTCTGGTAGCGTAGTGCTTACGAATCAGGCTTCTAACCGTAAGGTCAGCAGTTCGAAACTACCAGCTGTTCCATGGGAGAAAGATGAGGCTGTCTGCTCCTGTAAAGATTTACAGCCTCGAAAACCCTGTTCAGGGTCACTCTGAGTCGGAACTGACTCCAGGGTGCTTAACAACAACAACATCTATTTTAGCTTGTTCTTTTTTGCCATGGAATGAAACCAATCATTTAACCACTCCTATATCAAACCTGCAATGCCATTTGAGCAAACACTTTGGATTTGCACTGGATTGCAAAATCAGTTTGAACCACAAATTCAGCAGTTCAAGCTCACCAGCTGCTTCTCGGAAACCCTATATAAGGTCGCTATGGGTCGGAACCGACTCGACTGCACTTCACAACAATATCAAACCCAGAAAGTCTGATTTTTTTTTTTTCTTCTTGTTTTAATTTCAGAAGACTTTCCAGGAAGTTGGGGAGAGTTGGCACTGTCATGATGACCGCTCCCTGGCCTGCACTGACCATGCAGACTGAGTGGCACAGGCCTGGCCCCATTGCCTCAATTCCCAGCAGTCCCGGAGAGCCTGGGTGTCAGGGGACAGTCTGGATGGATTAGACACTTGCTCCCTATACTTTCAATAGTCTCTTAAGTGGAAATCATAGAAATGGCAGCCTCAATTTAGAAAAGCAGTTCTTTTTCTGTTGAAGCAAAAAAAAACAAAAAAAACCACTACAGTCTAAGGAAACAACTAATTTATTCAACCTACAGTGAGATGATCTCATCTTATATGTTAAAAGGTTTCAGATGAAATGATTTTTTTTTTTTTTTGGAACAAGAAATAACTATTTAGAACATTTAATGACTAAGATATTTTAAATACTTCTGATGGACTTTTGTTACATAAGAGTCACATACCTTTGAAAATATGCTATTTATTTTCAACAAGATTCCTTAAACACTGACTGGGTTCTGCAGTTATCAGGTTCTGGGAAATGGAGGATAAAAGACTAGAGTTGAGAAGTGTTCTTTTTTAGGAATGTTATGAGATTGGTGTTGGCAGTTCTTTCTTGGTAGGCCATTCCTATATTAAAGTCATTTTGTGGAGTTAATAAAAGGATATGAGGAAACAAGAACTCTAAACTAGTTCTTTTTGAAGAGGGGCTTATCAATTGTTGAATCATTCAACAAATATTTATTAGGTACCAACAATATGCCAGTGAATGGGTTTAAGCACTAATGATAAATACATTAGTGAACAAAAACTTTAAGGTTCTTGCTTTCATGGTGCATATATTCTAATAGAGTCAAAAAGAAACAAATAATTAAATTATTCACTATATGAAGGTGGTGATGCTAAGAAATAAGTAGATCAGGATAAAGGGGATTAGGAATGCAAAGTGAGTTATAATTTTCCATATGATTGTCAAATAAAACAAAGTACACATACCCTTGTTGTTACTGCTAAGTGCCGTTGAGTACGTTCCAACTCATAGCAACCCTGTATAGGGTTTCCAAGGTTTTAGATCTTTGTGGAAGCAACAAGCTTCATCTTTTTTCTGTGGAGTGGCTGGCAGACTCAAACCACAGACATTGTGGTTGGCAGTCCAGTGTTTATTATATGGAGCCATCACGTTTCCACACGTACCCTTGTTGTTAAATGCCATTGAGTGGGTTCTGACTCATAAGCACCCTGTATAGGGTTTCTGAAGAATAGCTGGTGAGTTTGAACTGCCAACCTTGTGGTTAAAACCAACCTTGTGATCCAGTGCTTCTCCTACAGTGCCACACCACAACTAAATATATCCTTAAATGCAATAAATTCACTGCTAGAAATGTATTCTTAGAGGTAGATTTTCATAAATAACATAAAGGTACAAATGAAAAAAATGTTTATATTTGCTGGGGGAAGGAAACAATCTAAGAGTCTATCAATAGGATGTTGTTGTTGTTGTCAGGTGCCATCGAGTCGGATCCGACTCATAGCGACCCCATGCACAGTAGAACGAAACAATGCTCGATCCTGGGCCAACCTCACCACCGCTGCCACCCCCGAGTCCATCAATGATGCCA